CGAAGGCAGCCTTCCCAGGCTCGACCTCTATCTTTAAAATTTTCATTCCCCCTCCATGTTACGAGAATATACGAAGACCAGATCAACTCACGTCAAAGAACAACTGCAAGAAGGCCGCAGCTCAACGTGATTAAGCCTTTCTGAGACAGCATACAAAACTAAAACAAGCAAACTTCTGCTTGTTAAAAAAAAAGTGTTTCTGTCCTTACTCGTGGGTTGAAGATATCCTTAAACAAGCAACTTGTGTGTTTATATATTGTCTGTGTGATATTATACATTTTGTACTCTGAATCTGCACTGACAAATCTGCCTTTGATTTGTTTTTCTTCTCAGGTACATTGAAACTGATTTGCGTCGATCAAAAGCTGGCAGATCATACCTATTTCTCTAGATCAAAAGGTCCCGCAGACTCCTTCCCTAGACAAAGCTCAGATAAAGGTAAGACTATTATGAGGGATAATAACAAAGAAGTGAGTCTAACTGATGTAGTGGTGGCTCAACCCACCATAGCATATCAGAATGAATTGATTATGTAGCTGATGCAGTATATTACAGAGTTGAGGGTAGACATGCAAAGGAGACAAGATCTGCCTCTACCAGGACTTGCCGCTAAGGGTGCTGATGGGAGGCCTCCTATCTACTTCCCTTCCTCAAATATCAATCCAACTAAGAACCATCCATCCACACCTGTTCAAAATCCATCGGTTATAGATCTGACTACCCAAAATTCCCAATATGCTTCTGCATCCTACCAAACTCCACCTCCTCCTCAAAACAACCATCGCCAAATGCCATCCCATTCACAAAATACCCACCATCAAACCGCTCCACAACCATAAAATCATAACCAAAATCAAAACCAAAATACTTTCAATCCCCAAGCACCCCACCATCACTTAAATCAGAATACCAATCCTCAAACGTACCCACAAAATTATAAAATCTCTCAAAATTCTCTTAGTCCCTCTGTAGCTCTAACCTTACTAAAAGGAGGCACTTTCCGAATTCCTGTCCCTGCCGAGCACGATGTGCACAATTTTGAGTTGGACTATTACGAGGAACACGAAAAAGAGTGGAGGGCTAAGTATGAGGTAAAGGTTGACATAAAAGAAGATATCAAGAAATCCATGAAAGAGATTCAATGCGTCGTTGATATCGTAGAGCCTAGTTATGAAGAATTATGCATTAATCCAAATTTGGACCTTCCGAAAGGGTTAAAAATCCCCAAGTTTGACACCTTTGGAGGAGTGGGCAACCCTATGGCTCATCTGAGAGACTATTGTGACCAAATTGTGGGAGTTGGAAGGGATGAAGCTTTATTGATGCGTCTCTTCAGACGAAGCCTGTACGGAGAAGCTCTCGAATAGTTCACCTTGCATTAAACAAGGCAATGACCCAGCTGGAATGCATTAGCCAATGATTTTATCGATCGATTTGCTTACAACGTAGAAATTATTTCGGACTGTTACTCTTTGGAGAAGATGAAACAAAAAGCAACCCAGAGCTATAGGGAGTTCGCCTATATGTGAAGAAAAGAAGCGCCAAGGGTTAGATCACCCATATCTGAGAGAGAAATCGTTGATGTATTCGTGCGCATGCATGAGCTGGAATATTATGATAGAATTATGTTGCTTGTTAGAGCTAAGTTTGTCGAGATAGTCAAGATTGGTGAGACTATCGAGGACGGTTTAAAATCACTAAAAATAGACCGTGTAGCCACATAGCCTAGATCTTCAGAATTGTTAAAAAAGAAAAGAGAAGAAATCGTTGTTGTTTCTTACGGGGGAAGGAAAACCTCTAGAAGCTCATCTTATTCCCATGGTTGTTCCCGCCCTTTCCTAGAGTCCTACCAATCTTGCTACACTCAATCCACTCATCCGTATAATAAGAATGCTATCTCCATTTATCAAAATGTACAAGCTTCACTATACAAAAAAATCCACCCCCGAATTACCAAAATCCATCTCCCATTTATCCAAATGATCCTCCACTCTACGAAATTCCACCTCCCTACTAGGGTGTTGCTCCTAACTGCCCTAATGTGCATTCAAGCTACCGAGCACCCCCTCCTATTTATCAAGTCCAAGCTCCACTATAAAAAAAATTCCCCTCCGAATTACCAAGCTCCATCACAAAATTACCAAAAAAATCCATATCCTAGAAGCCAAGCTCCCCGTCCAAATACCAGAAGTTATGAAGAGATGCCTCCTCCTAAAAAAGGCAGCTATGACCTTCCTCGACAGATATTCGTGAAGAGGTCTTCAAGGAACTTCACTGTGCTCTCTGAAAGTCGAACAAAGCGGTACAAACGACTAGCTACGGATGGATACATCTACACTGTGGGGCCCAAACCCGTGGATGTCAATTGAAAATTCTACAGACCCGATCAGAGATGTGCTTATCATTCAAACTGTGTTGGGCATGATACTGAGGATTGTATCAACCTCAAGCACAAAATTCAAGATTTTATTGATCGAGAGGTGGTCTCTCTCCAACAAGTGACACTAAATGTTAACACCAACCAGTTGCCGAATCATGGGGGCGGTAATATCAATATGATCGACATAGACAACGACTGAAGTGGAGAAAAAATGATTACTCCCATCGTCCACGATGATTTGAAAAAGTTTGTTAGTTCTTTAAGCATAAAAGAAAAGAAAGAGTTCGTTATTTTGACACCTATAAAAGTTGTTGTTTTGGTGCCATCAAAAACACTTGTCAAGCTTAAGTTCGTTATTGAATCTCCTGCTGCACAAGTCATGACTAGGTATGGAAGATGTTACACTTTTGATGAGCTTGATCTCGGAGGTCAGAAGAAGGATCAGAATAAAAGGCCAATAAGAGAAAGAGAAGCAGAGGAATTCTAGAGAAGAATGCAGCCAAAAGCTTATTCTATCATCAAGCATTTGGGGAAGACTCCAACTCCAATCTCCATATGGGCCCTGATGATGAGTTCTCAATCCTACAAGCAGGCTTTAATGAAGGTTTTCGATGATACATATGTATTCACGGGTACAAGCAGCGATAATGTGGCCACTATGATTCACCGGGTTATTTGAGGGCACCGAATCAACTTTTGTGACGATGAGCAACCTATAGAAGGGAGGTCACACAACAAAGCGTTGAACATCACTGTGGTATGCCATGGAAAGGTTGTCAACTACATCTTAGTAGATGATGGATATGGTCTGAATATCTGCCCGTTGTCGATGTTGAGGCAGTTAAGGTTTAACTAGGGAAAACTTGAACAAAACCAAGTCAATGTAAGAGCCTTTGAAGGGGTTCAGATACATACGTTGGAAGTAGTGAATCTGATCATCCAAATGGGCCTAGCAGAATTTAGCGCACAATTTCAAGTATTGGATATCCATGACACTTATAACCTCCTCCTGGGAAGGCCTTTCATCCATATGGCTGGAGATGTCCCGTCTACTCTACATTAGATGATGCAGCTGTGTGGATGAACGAAGAGCTAGTTATTCATGGCGAAGGATGTCACTCCTGAAGACAAGTGCCGATCATTGATGAAATGTCACGAGGTACAAATTTCTACAGGGTGGACCTGGTGAATGCCACCGGTGAAGAATTGGCTCCATAGACCCCCATGCCTGCCGTGTACAAAATGATAGCCACTGTGATGCTGCATAATGGTTTTTAATCGGGTTGCGGATTGGAAAGAGATTCCCCAGGAATTATTGAGCCTATTTTTGTCCTCCTTAAGGGATCCAGATATGGTTTGGGGTATATTTCCATAGATGATGACATGAAGATGAAGAAGAAAAATGATCAAGCATTGGCCAAGCATATCCCATATCTGTATCAATCATTTCTGATCCGGGAGTATGCCAAGAATGAAGACCTAAGGGAAGGAATCTGTGACCTCTTCGAGGAGAACAATGCTATTGTTGAAGAAGAGGTTGAGCTAGCTGGTTTCCGCAAAGACTAGCCGAAAGTGATCTTGCAAAACTAGACCTATACGCCAATCCTGATCCCCCGAACTCCTCGCTAGAAAGGAAGTGTTTCATGAAAATTAAAATTGGCGGTAGTCCGGAAGAGGCCTGAGACCCATCATTTTAAATTTTCTTAACTGTTTGAATTTTTGAATTTTCATCGTGATGTTCAAAAAAGGTAACATGGCCCTATGCCATATCAAAAGTTTGCATTGTTTTCCATTTTGAATGAGAGCCTCTTCTAATTTCAAAACTTATTTATTTATTCATTTGTTATACTTTACATTCCTAACTTTCTCTATTTATGATTTCAGTAACATAATTTTTAGACTTGCCAATGTCATGTCATGTCATGAGCTGAACGAACTAAATGGGGTTTATAATGACGAGGTTGACGATTGCGAAGAAGTAAATAATGAACCAGATTATGTCGCTGAGGAATTTCAGCAGTTCAAAAATCAGCATAAACCAAATCTAGAGGAAACAGAAACGGTAAATTTGGGGGATCCAAAATATGTTAAAGATGTTAAGATCATCATCCACCTAAATGAATCTCAGAATGAGGGCCAAATTGATTTGCTTGCTGAATATATTGATGTGTTCGGTTGGGAAGTGTGTGATATGCAAGGGTTGAGTACTGATATCGTGTCTCATAAGCTGTCGATTAACCCGGAGTTCGACCCGATTAAATTAAAAACTCGAAAAGTCTATCCTGAACTGAGTTTAAAGATTAAGGAAGAGATCACCAAGAAGATAGAGTCTTGATTGGTGGAAGTGACACAATACCCAACTTGGTTAGCCAACATTGTTCCGGTTGCCAAGAAAGACGGGAAAATAAGGATTTGTGTCGACTATAGAGATCTTAAGAAAGCTAGCCCTAAGGATTATTTTCTGTTTCCGAATATTCATATTTTGATTGACAACCTACCTAAGTATGAAGTGCAGTCATTTGTGGATTGTTACGGAAGCTATCACCAAATTCTGATGGATGAGGAAGATGCGGAAAAGACAACATTCATTACACCTTGTAGTGTATATCATTACGGAGTGATGTCGTTTGTCCTCAAGAATGCTGGTGCTACCTACATGAGAGCCATGAAGACCATATTTCACAACATGATTCATAAGGAGATTGAAGTGTATGTGGATGATGTCATAATCAAGTACCGTGAGAGGTCAGACCACTTGACACATCTAAGGAAATTCTTTGATTGTTCGCGTTGTTACAAGTTGAAGTTAAGCCCTGCCAAATGCGCTTTTGGAGTTCTAGCCGGAAAGTTGTTAGGATTTATAGTCAGCAGAAGGGGTATTGAGCTCGACCCTTCTAAGATCAAAGCCATTCAAGAGTTACCTACGTCAAAGACAAGAAAAGTGGTGATGAGTGTCTTGGGGAGGTTAAACTACATCAGTCAATTAATAACCCATTCAACATGGTGTGTGAAACTATTTTCAAGCTGTTGAAGAAACACGGCTCGATAAAGTGGACTGAAGAGTGTCAGACTACTTTTGATGCCATCAAGAACTATTTTTCTAATCCGTCGGTATTGGTTCTTCCACGAGAAGGTAGTCCTTTGTTGTTGTACCTATCTGTCTCAGATAGTGTATTCGGATGCGTACTTGGTAAACATGACAAAACAGGAAAGAAAGAAAGGGCAATCTATTATATAAGCTAGAAGTTTAATCCATAAAAGTCCTGTTACACCTTGTTGGAGAGAACATGTTGTGCTTTGACGCGGCTAGCCTAGAAGCTGAGACATTATTTGTCTTTTTATACTACATACCTTATTTCCAGAATGGATCCACTGAAGTATATCTTCCAGAAGGCGATGTCGACAGGAAATTTAGCAGTATGGCAAATGTTATTGAGTGAATTTAACATTGTCTATATGACTCTGAAAGCGATAAAGGCCCAGGCTTTGTCCAATAATTTTGAAGAAAATCCCGTTGATGAATGGTATCAACCACTCAAAACTTATTTTCACGACGAAGAAGTGTCATTTTTGGGTGAGGAAATTTCTGAAGCATATTCCGGTTGGAGATTATTCTTTGATGGAGCGGCAAATCATCAAGGTAAAGGTATTTGAGTAGTCTTAATGTCAAAATCTTGTCAGCACTATCCCATGGCAGCTAAGCACCAATTTAATAGCACAAACAACATGGCCGAATACAAAGCTTGTATTCTTGGTTTGAAAATGGCTATCGACATGAATGTCTACGAGTTGTTGGTTATTTGAAACTCAAACCTTTTGATTCATCATGTTTAAGGAGAATGGGTTGTGAAGAACCCAAAGATTATACCTTACGTACTGTATGTGCAGAAGTTGTGCAAAAGATTTCGTAAGATTGAGTTCAGACATGCTCCCACAATACAGAATAAATTCACCGACGCTCTTGCCACCATCGATCTGATGAGTAAACATCTAGATACAGATTATATTGATTCCTAGGATAGAGAGTTGAAATAACATCTAGTCCATTGTTCCCATGTTGAAGCAGAATCAAACGGTTTGCCTTGGTATTTTGATATAAAGAAGTATTTGGAGTCTGGAATTTATCCCAAAGATGCTATGTCCAATCAGAAGAAGTTGATACGCCATATTTCTCTCATTTCTTTCAAAGTGGAGAAGTCTTTTATTGGAGGACTCTAGACTTAGGTTTTCTCAGATGTGTTGACGTCGTTGAAGCTGCGAAGCTTGTTGAACAGATACACGATGGAGTTCATGGAACGCATATCAATGGTCTCACTTTGTCAAGAAAGATCCTAAGAGCCGAGTATTTCTGGATGACAATAGAGAATAATTGTTGCATGTTCGTGCAAAAATGCCACAAATGTCAAGTGCACAGTGATTTGATACGAGTTTCGCCTCATAAACTTAATGGTATGAGTTCAACTTGGACGTTTGTATCTTGGGGATGGATGTAATCGATCTGATAGAATAAGCCACTTCAAATGGACACAAATTTATTTGGTTGCTATTGAATATTTCACCAAGTGGATGGAAGCAGCTTCTTACAAGTCGATAACCAAGAAATGGTGGCTAATTTTTTTCGCAACAAATTTATATGCAGTTTAGGAGTACCAAAGGCGATCATTTCTCATAATCGTGCAAATCTTAACAGTCACTTCATGAGAGATATGTGAGCAATTCAAGATTATTCACCGAAACTCAACTGCTTATCACCCTCAAATAAACGGTGTTGTGGAGGCCGCCAATAAGAATATTAAAAAGATTCTGAGAAAAATGATTGACAATCACTGAGGTTGGCATGAGATGATGCCATATGCTTTATTAGATTATCGGACAAATGTTAGAACATCGAATGGAGCTACTCCATACTTGCTAGTATATGGAACAGAAGCGGTCATAACTTCTAAAGTAGAAATACCGTCTTTGAGAATTATCCAAGAAATTGAGTTAAGTAACACTTAATGGGTCATCAAATAGATCGATCAATTAACTTTGATAGATGAGAAGAGAATGGTTGCCATCAGTCATGATCAGTTGTATAGACAGAGAACGATTTAGGACTTTAACAAGAGAGCAAGAGCCAGAATTCTTGAAGCTGGTCAGTTGGTTGTTAAGCATATTTTTCCTAATCAATACGAGTACAAAGGAAAATTTGCACCAAATTGGAAAGGACCCTACATAGTTCGCAAGGTATTATCCGTAGGTGCTTTGGTCTTGTCGGAGATGGATGGCACCGCATGGCCAAAACCTATCAACTCAGACGCTGCCAAGAGATACTACGTGTGAAGATCCTGTTTGCATTTCTGTTTTTTTCTTGTAACCAATCTATTATCTTGTATTCGTTTTACTTAATTTTTTATCTCTATGTGCGACCTGAATTCTCAAGAATGTTATACGTAGGCGTCCTTTGTCGGCCTCGATCGGTTTTCATTGTAAATTCTTTTTATTTTGTTAACCTTTGAGGGGAACTATATTTGGCCTGATCCGTGCCTCAACGGGATACGTTGGCGCCACAAGGGTTCGGTCATTTCTCCGGTAAGATTTTTTTTCTCTTAACAATAGAAACCGGGATAGAATTTTTGAGAGGGACTCAAAAATTCTGGAGGGGAATATTCTTCCTCAGCAAGTCAAGACTGAAGATATTTTGAAATTTGCAATTGGGACAGAATTTTTGAGAAGACCTCAAAAATTCCGCAATCTACTCAATAACAGTGGAAAGATAGGAAAGACAGTTAACTGGGACAAAATTGTGGAGGATGGCCTCGAAATTTCAGCATTGGTTCATCTATAAGTGTGTAGTGTCTCTGGAAACTCCCCAACGAATAGTCAGAAAAACCTCCAAGCATCAGACTCAAAGAAATTTGTTAAGCTTGATATGACATGACTTGGCTGTGAACTTTTTCAGATACTATTTCTCAAAAATTTTTGTTCTTAAATTTTTTCATTCCAAGTTTAATTTGTTTTGGCATAAAATATTTTCTCTCATCTATCAAGAGTCAGAAGATCGGGAAATCAACCAGAGATAGCAGGACAAGGAGCAGACAACTTAAGAAATCGACACAGATAAATTCGTTTTTAAAACTAACAATTTTTATGTGGACGCAGGCTTATAAGTTTGCTCATAAATCAGCAAATTCTTCTGATAGATGAATATGGAGAAGTCAATGGAAGAGAAACTGTCCAAAAATCAATAGTTTTCAAAGAAGCAAGAATCATTTTATATCGCTTATGTTATAGACTTGGAAATATAAATTCTTTATTTCAATCCATTTCCGACAACATCAAAATTTAAAAAGAGCGTCCAGCTAGATTCGAAGGTGAATGAAGAGAAAATCTCAAGAAAGAGTTAAGGTTTCCGTAAAGGACGTCATTTACATCATAATATCAGATATGATACTATGCATTACCCAGAGGGGTCAGTTATTTTATTGTCGGTCGAGAAGATATATTATTTGGAGGTTTTTTTACCGTTATCATCATTGGAGATAATAGAATTATCCATGAAGCACCGAGAAGATCACTATGTTGCTCGATTGAAGCACTATCTTTATTTAGTATCAAGGATGACATCAAGAATTAATATGCATGCATCGCGAGTCAATATCCATGCATCATAGAAGATTCATGCATTGCGAGTAAACATTCATACATCGCGGAAGATTTTTGAATTGCGAGTCAATATTCATGCATGGTGGAAGATCATGCATAACGAGTCAATACTCATGCATGGCGATGAAATACTCATGCATTACGGAAAACCATGCATCGCGAGTGAATATTCATGCATCGCAAGTCAATATTCATGCATTGCAAGGCAATACTAATGTGTCGCGAGAAGATTCCATGTCTCATTAAAATTTATGCATCGCGAGAAGATTTCATACCTCACAAAAATTATGCATCGCGAGAAGATTCCATACCTCGCAGAACTTATGTATCGTGATAAGATATTCATTCCTCGTACAAATTTATGCATCGCAGGAGGATATTCGTACCTTGCAAGAAATCACGCATCACGGAAAGCTATACATGCCCCATAAGAAATCATTCACTACAAGAGGAGGAATCGTGCATGTCAAGGGAAATCCTTACCCCTCAGCATGCTCTGCATCTTTATTTGGCAAGAGTGAATGCCAAGAGATTCATCGAAAGCAACAAAGAAAATATCAGCATTGCATCAGTTTTATTTATTTTGACATCAAATGAAGAGTGAATTTAAGATTATATTGCAAACACAAGATGTAAGCTTTATTTGCTTTACGTCAAGCCGATTGAGATGACGTCAAATATCAACGGGAACGAATAAGTGTCGACACGGTAAAAGACACTGTCTCTCATTTAAATTGCATTTTTATTCTGAAATGTTTTATCTCAGTATTTATCGAGAGCATCTGAAAGGACTAATTCTCTAAAAAATAAGCACGGTTGTGGACAACATCAAAATGGATGCAGCACAACATGGAACTTTTTCTTAGCAATGAACTGGGACATAGTCCAAAGAGGAGTATAAAACTCTTAGGATGCGAGAAGAGGAGGGAAGTCCACCATAATCAAACCACACCCCTATCATAAGGCATGTGGGTTTTCTTTGGTTTTTGTCAGTTTCGGTCTTCCATCCGGGATCTTCGATCTACAAGAGATAAGTTTCCAATCTGAGTGACAATGAAAAAGAGCTTTAGAAATTATGTCTGTGTATATTCTTATCTAGGGATGTGAAGAGCTCCATCGTCATGACTAAGAGGTGGAAAGACTCTCTTTCATACTTGACATTTTTTTCCACTTATCCAAACCAAAGGTTATATGGCATAACAAATTTCCTTTTCCACCGACTTAGTTGAACTACAAGCAGCCTGATTCTGTCTGTTTAGAATATGTAGGCAAACTTAATATTGAAAACTCAGTTGTATTCCAACATTCACCCTTAATTCCTATTCCCGAGAATTTCGATCCCTTCATGATACAGTATCGAGATGATTTTTGAATTCCCTCAAAAATCATGTATTAAATCTAGTTTATCGAACGACAAATTTCCTGAATTCTCATATAGCCTAAGATATGTAGCTAACCCATTTCTATGATTCGGCGATAAATCCTAAAGTCCGTACAAAAATCCCTTTCCGAAAAGAATAATATGTGGTCGGTCAAAATTGGCTTGGTCAATTTCATTTTGCTCGAATTTCTTGCATCAATCCTAGTAAAACGAGGGACAGTTTTTGATACCCCAATTGGACCCTCTGTGATAGTAATTAACTAGCTAGCTTCTCGAGTTTAAGAAATTTAAATTAATTAATTGTATATTAAAAATAATTAATTTAAAAGAAATATTAGTAATAAATAAAATATTAGATTGCAAATTATTTAAAATAAAGTTTCGACACCTTTTATATTGTTTTTGTAATGTATATATCTTCTATAATTATTCGAATAATTATTTAAATTTTATTCATATTCAAAATCATTTTGAGAGTAATACTCTATTTTATATGAATATTTGGTCTGCATAGTTAGTTTATTCAAATTAATTATTTTACTTTTATTACTCTTAAGAAGATTGTTAACTAATTTATATTAATTCGTCTTAGTTGAGATTTAAGTCGATTTCGCCGACTTAATCCATAACCAGTCGGTCATTCTCGTAATTGCAATTTAAGTAATCCTTTAAGCCATTTGCAAAACCATGTTTGGGCACTTTTTGGGAATTTTTCTGCACCCCAGTCTCTCCAATCTCAGGCCCAATGACTCCATAGTTGCTCCAACTCAAACCAATCCTAGTCTATATTATTTTCAACCAGCCTATATATCAAAAAATAAAAAATAAATCCAGGCCCAAATTTTCAATTCCGGCCCCATCTAAAATTCCTCTTTCCATCCCTTTTTAAGTCAACCCGTCCAAGACAAATAACCCCAAATTGACCCAACCAAAAATTCGTTGATCCGACCACCTTTTCCCTAAAAAAAACTGAATACCGCAATTTTTTTCCGGACGATAAAGAACTTAAGACGATACCAAGCGATAGTAGTCATGAAGAAGCCAAGCGCGTAGGACCCATTATTCATCCGAGTGTCTATTACAGCAACGGCACGCGATTTGTCCTTGCTTACGGCTGCTCGTGACAGTTCGCTCCACATCACTTGCCAAGGAAAATCGTTCAATCCGGAGCATCAATCCGCATTTTCTATATCTGGAATGGTGCAAATTCGCAGATAAGGTTGCTTCACCTCTTATGATGGCAATCTTGAAGTTAGCTTGGGAGATAATTCCCGTTTCTACCCCTTTCAACCCCAGCTCTCCTCCTATATATATTTTCTTCATCTCTCTGTATTGGGATTTTTTTTGAATTCTTATGAGGGATTTTTTTTGACTGATTTTTTGCAGGCAGATAATAGAGAAAACAATTTTCTTTTCCTAGTTTTAGAGATTTTCTTCTTTTTGGAGTTAAAAAATTCAGTGGAAATATAAGAAGCGTCTCAAACTCTTAGCCGAAGAGGCCTTAGTTTCAGTTCCAAGAGAACAATGGATTAATTTTCATTTTGAAATAACATCCTGCGCGATTTCTTTGTTTAGGGTAGGAACGGGAACGCGGGTTGGTGGAGTCATCGTCCAGAAAGCTTGTTGTCCTAGTCGCTTCCTCGTAAAAGGTAAATACCTCTCCTTTTCAGCTCAGTCTTCTCCTCTGTGTCTCTCCCATGTTGAGGTCATTATGCTATTGAACTGAAGTTTATTGTACATTCATTCTATTTTTTATGTTACTTTATAAAATGGCTAATATCAAAAGAAAATTGATTAGGCGAGCCGTTTATCATGTCATCTGTTGGTCACAATTCTAAATGGTATCATGTACAGTTCCTCCTCCCGTCTGCCATATCTTCTTTCTCTTTACACTAAGTGGTCATTCTTCGAGTCTCTCCTTCGCTCTTTCACCATGTGATCATTCTCTGTTCATTCACTTTAAAGGTAGGTTCCAAACCTTGTTGTCCCTGCAGTTTAACTTCCATAGTTTAGTCATTATATCTAGTTGATTGTTTTAGTGTTACTTTTTTCCTGTTTAGCATGAACTTGCGTTATTATTTTGATGTTGATGTCATTCTTTCCCCCCTAGTCGGATGAATGAATGAAGGCATCAATGTTCACAGTTAATTCGGTCATCGTGCTTGCTATGTGAGATGTTTTGGCTGTTGGTTTTAAGCTTATCTCATTTTTTTCGTTTTTTTGTAGTCCTTTTTTTTGGAGTTCACCAATTGTTAAATATATAAATATATATATATGTGTATATATATATATATATATATATATATATATATGCTATTTGCTGATAGTTTATTAAATTTTTTCTTATTTTTTTGTTCTTTTCCATTAATTCTTTATGTTCAAAGGCAAATGTTTATTGTGGTAGTATTTTCATTTGTTTATGTCATTGATGCTTTCTTACTATCATTATATTAGTATTATTTTATTATATAAATTCCAAAGCACTCTGGTTCAGATAATGGGTACTTATTTCTAATTTCTGAATTACTTCAGTCTGTGTCATCCTTGTTAAAGTTACTGCCGACTCCGTGCATATTTAATTTGTCCACCTCTTTAAATTCGCCTGACTGCCGACTAGAGTTTATGCTAGGATTTCTTGTTCGTCTATTTCATGGGCAACCCTTGTAGTGTGTAGCAGAGGAGTTTTGAATATTTATTTTGTTGAAATTATTTTCTTGGTATGCTTAGTGTTCTATTTGGCTTATTCAAGCCTGGGAAGATTTAGCAGTTAGATATTGTTGTTATTTCGTTATTTTTGGCTTAATGATCTTGTTATTTTTTATTTGAGCAAGACTCTGTGGTTGAGCTTGTTATTTGTTCTTCTTCGTTTCCAATTTAGCTGATGTTTACCATTTTGCTTGCATGTAAAATTTGTCTGAGTTCGCCATGAACTCTTCTTCCTTGAATTTTTGGAGAGCAGTAAAGGCTCAACATGTCCATCGAGTCTCCAATCTTTAAATTGACGGACAGTTCCCAAAGTTTAAAGAATTGGAAAATTGAAGAAGTTGGAGCCGAAGTTTTTTTATTTTTTTATTTTTATATCCTATTGTATTTATTCTGGGACTTAGCCATTATCGTCTTTTAATTTGTATCATTATTTGTTTAGTTTAGGACAAGTACAAAATGGATCGAAACACAAAAAGATAATGGGTCAGAAACCTAATATAGGTGGGTTCAAAAACAGTCAAGGCGAAAAGAACCCGGATTTTGACCCAAATCTCTTTTCCTCTCTCTCTTTACTTGCTTTTAGTTACTTGTTTATTTTATTTGTAGTTAGTTCTAAAGGTTAGGAAAATTCAATTCCCCACAAAACGCCTCTTTGAATTTAATGATTTAGTCAAATAAAAGGCCTAAAAGATTTTACAAATAAAAATTGACTTAGATAAATAATTCTCCTTCAAACATAATCCGAAATGATTTTTTTTGCTTTCAATTTTCAAACAACTCTAAAGAGTATTCAGATCGCAATTGTAAGTCTTATCCAGATATTAAGTTAGTGTTCGGATAGTCGTAATTTAGCGGAACATATCAGGTGCTTTTAAAACCTTCCTAAGACGATAATAAGAATCCTTGAACCCTTATGATTGTTTTAAAACAGTTTTTCTGTTATGTCTTTTGAAAACAATATTTTTCTTGGTTTTTCTCAAAAATTAAGTGGCGACTCTCTAAAAAGTTGAAAACTTTACAAAAACAAAATACTTTTCCAATTTTGGATAAAACAGTGAGGGCACTAATTGCAATATCAGAAAGTTGGTACCTTGGCGACAAACAAAAGAGTAGAGGTGTCAGTACATGGTTAGTCTGTGTGATGGTCTGATCGACATGAGTAAGCCTATCAAGACTAAGAGAAGAAACATGGACTAAAGCAACAAAAAAGTTGGGATTGATAGCCATGTGATTGCGGAAGCTTAAAAGAGGATACTTGTAAACATAGTGTTGTGTTGAGTAATAGTGTGTCGCTTGAGGAAAAACAACAAATTTAAGTTGAGGGTGTTTATGTAACATGGTTTCACGATACATTTAACTCTTTTTCCTTAAGGTTGATGTGTGTCTAAATCCTTTTTGTTGTAGTTTTACTGCGTTTTTGTCTTTGTTTTACAGGAAAGTTGCCCAAAACCAAAATGCAGAAGGCTGTGAAGAACCTGTGCAGAAGTCACCCACGAAGGCTATCGACGACCCTTCATCCCATAGACGGACCGTAGGTGGTGACCATCGATTGGAGGTTAAGGTATCTTGAAGCAACTCGGGGAATTCTGACTACATGTGAAACTACGGTAGGATCGACGGTCCGTCGATTGATCAACGGACCGTCCTGGCAAAAAGTCGATGTGAACAGTGAATGTCTCAGTTTCCGATGTCGAAGAAAAACTAAGTATGGAACAACGGGAAGCATCGACGGACCGTAGGTGAATCGACGGACCGTGCTGTTGGTCCATCAATTGGAACAGAGAAGATACAAAGTGAAGGCTAAAAAAAGATGTTAAGTATGGACTGACTGAGGCGATCGACGATGTGTCATTTGATCGAAGGACCATCTGTGGGGGACGTCAATTGAAGTCGCGCTTTGGAAAAACTTTACTTGTTTTTATTCCTTTTAGTTTATGACTATATTTTATTATCAATAGGGTGAAAAACCTCATTTTTTTGGTTGGATTCTTTTAATAAATTCATACTTTTGTTCTTGGAGATTTGTTTAAACTACTTGGGCATTAATTCAAATTCCCAAATTGGGTTTTTAAAATAATTGTTTTATTTCAAGTGGAATTTCTGGATTGTCTTTGAATTTGTCAAGGTAAGTTCATGATTTATTAATTATCAATTAAGGGTTGTGTTCTTATAATCATAGATACCTAAATCCACAGCTAGTGTTGTGGAAACCATGGGTGATTAACAAAATAAACCTAGGTAAATAATAAATTTCAAATGGGTTATTGCATGCATAGATAATTCTTTCGTTTAGAAGTTCTTTTAACGAGTGCACGCGTTAGATTTTGCTTTTTTTCTACTTGTCAGTCCAAGGGGATAGATAATAGGAAAAAAATAATCGACATAGATTTAGTGGAACTATCTAATATGCTAGTTTTGATTGGTGTTAAGTAATAACTAAGACATACATCAAATATGATGCTTAATATGAAGTAAAAGTAAGGGTTAGTAAATAAGACACACGTAGCCGGACCAGGGTACGGGGTAAAATTCTCTTAGTGCTTGACCAAGGATTTAGAGATACATACTTCTGATTTTTCTTGAAAAACAATAGAGAAGAGTTGTTATATCTAGGATTATGGCGTTATGATCTTATGGGGAACACTTACACCCTAGTTTCTCTCACAATATGATAAACACTAATAATTCACTCTTGCTACTTGTTTTATTTCACAACATTGCAACACTTTTGTTTTGCAAACCCCCCTCCCCCCCTTTAATTACTAATTTTCGGAAAGGATTTGACTAAATAGAGGTAATCGTATCATACAGTTAAGTCTAAATCATTTTCCTCGTTGGATGGACCCCAACCTAATAGTTGAGTTCCTTACTTGATACGACCGCTTATACTTCTTTATGAAAGTGTAAATTAATCGTATCTGTCAAGTACACCATGTTACTTCTACGGGTTGTTCCCAGTCGTGATATATCCACTAGTACATTACGAAAAGAGTTAATCTAAAAAGTATAATCCTCTTTTACCCATGATGACTAAATACTTTACATAGAGACTTTAGTTAATATGAACTCGCATCCCCACATCGGTGCTCAATACTACTCCAAGAAATATATGCTGGCTCTTATATTTTTAAAACATATTGACTCTATAATTTGATATTAATGCTCAAAACTTAACTTTAAAAAGCTCTCTTGAAAATCTTAGTTTCCCTGATTGTTTAAATGTGAAAACATTTTTACATCTCTGTGGGGATACTTAGTCCCCATATACTCTCGAAGAAAGGAATTTCAATTTAACTCTTTACTCCTCGCTCAACTTATAGCTTGAGCCCAAAAAGAATAAGAATGTTTGTTTAAGACTCTAGAAATCTTTAATAACTTACTTTGACTTGCTTCTTTACTTTTAGACTTGACTCCTAACTTATTTGACTTTGATCTTATCTTTCGTTGAATTGATTAAGGACAAGGATCACGATCTCATGTATATGGATGCTTTAATGATGTTCCGATTTACTTTAGAGTGTTTGAATCAACTTAGAAAAATAGGTTCATCGATTAGGATCTAGAACAAAAAGATGGGCGATGAATGGGAACTCAAGGTGACCCTTGGCACTCAGAGTGGTGCGGGGCGCCAAAGCCTACACTGTCCTCAGGCACTCTGGGTTGTGCGACATACCCGATCCTGACAAACAGAGTTTGTCCAGAGGGGCTCTGGTAGGCGCGGTGCCTCAAGGCTTGTCGGATGTGTTTCCAAACTTTTCTTCACCAATTTTAACTCTAAACCTTCCAAAATTCCATGGATGTTCCCCCAATATGCTTTACATCACTAATATCCTCAATACCCAATAGATTACACTCGTAAACAAAGCCTGGAAACATGGATCAAAACCACTAAAGGTACACTACAACTCGACCAACATGATTTCAACAATCGTTCATACAGAACTTCAAGATTCATCATTTAATCAATAAAAACTTGCTGAATTAGACATATTCCTTTGTGGGTGAACGAACCCAACACAAAAGGATCTCACATACCTCGATAGGGATCACCCGCAGAAAATTCCTTAACTAAAACCTTAGCGTTCTTGAAGAATTCTTGATCTTCCTCTTCTCTTCTCTTTTCTCCCATGACCTAAGCATTCGAAACATTTCAAAACTGAGTTAGGACTTTATTTTACCCCTAATAAACCCTTAAAATGAATAAATAAATACTAGGGTGAAAAGACTACATTACCCTTACTAAAATTCATATTGGACATTCTAGAGTCCAACAACCCAACTTTCGAAAGATATATATTTCTCATATGACATCAAAAATGCGCAAACTTGGCATAGTTGAAAAGATGTTCCCAAAGAATTTCCAACAATATAAAGAACTCACCCTATATCCTCTTTAGCTAGGAGTTATAGCCGTTGAAAATGACCAAAAACTCACTTTTTAATACTAGGAAATTTTCCAGATTTCCCTATTTATTTCCAAAAAAGATTATTTTTGTTTTCTTAGCTTATTCTTAGTTATTTCAAGTTACGAGATTATACAGTATCTCCCCCTTGTGAAAATTCATCCTCGAATCAGAACTTTTCCACTAAGTTAATGGTAGTAACATCATTTAAACACTCAACAACAAAACTAAATAACAACCTCCTTACACATAGTCTTACAAAGACCTTAGAAGAGAATATAGTTCCTTGACTTGCATTCTCTCCGGATTCATAGAGATGTGGATATCTCCTCTTCAAATCCCCCTCTGCTTCACAAGTTGGTTCTATACGGAATTGGTTCCTCCAAAGGACCATGACTTATGCTACTTGCTTAGTTGTCAATTTGTGAACTTGACGATGCAAAATCTAAACCGGAACCTCCTCATAGTATATAATATCCTTAATTCCAACATTCTCAGCTTCTATAAACAACAAAAGATCACCTAAGCATTTATTCAGCATATACAAATGGAATAACGAATGAACCACTGCTAGATCTTGGGGTAACTCAAACTCATATGCTACATTGCCAACTCTTAGAGATTTTGTAGGGACCAATATAGCGTGGACTATGTTTCCCTACATACAAAAAATCATAACCCCCTTTCATTGGTGAAACTTTCAGGTACACCCAATAATCTTGTTGAAACTCTAACAGGTTTCTCATAACATCTGTGTAGGACTTGTGATGACTCTATGTCGTTTTCAACATTTTTTGAATCACTTTCACATTTTACATAGCTTGGTGCATAAGATTAGGTCGTATTAACCATGCTTCACCAATTTTGAAGTACTCTATAGGAGATCTGCATCTTTTCCCTCAAAAAGCCTCGTATGGAGCCATTTAGATGGTCAAATTGTAACAATTGTTTTAAGGGAACTCAATGAGAGGTATGTCATCATTCCAATTCTCTTTATAGTCGAGCACACAAGATCTCAATTCGCTTCTTGTCCATTTGTATGAGGATGAAAAGCAGTGCTTAAGTTCACCCTTAAACCTAAACCATTCTGGAAATATTTTCATAATTGTCCAGTAAATTGTTTACCTCTATATGAAATTATTGAGACCGGAACTCCATGAAGTCTCACCACCTCTTAAAGGTACAACTTATCATAGACCTTGATCGAATAGGTAGTATACTGGCAAAAATTTGCTTACTTTGTCATTCCATCGACAATAAACCAAGTAGAATCACGTTACTTGTGAGACCTTGGCAAGCCTGTGATAAAGTCAATATGAATGATCTCCCACTTCCAATCCGGAAGTTCTATATTCTGAGCCAATCCTCCATGTCTTTGGTGTTGTACTTTTACTTGCTTGTAATTTTGCCACATGGCAACAAACTCGACAATGCCCTTCTTCATGCCCTCCCACCAATAAATCTCTCTCAAATCATAGTACGTCTTTGTAGAAGAAAGATGGATTGAATATTTGAAATTATGAGCTTCCTATATGATCCTTTCTTGGAGTTCATCCACCTTTGGTTTACAGAATATACCTTGATACTTCAGCACACCATCTCCCCTTGTTCAAAAGCTAATACTCTTTTCTTATGATTGTTCGACTTTCAATCCAATAAAATGAGGTCTTGGTCTTCCTTCTCTTTCACCTCTGACACTAATGACGACTCAGCCCCATTGGTCGCAACTATACCTCCATCTGTGGAATCAAAAGGCTGACTCCCAAACGTGCAAGTCTGTGCACAACTTTAGCTAACTTCTCTTTCCTTCTTTAACATGGGAGATACTCCCTATGGATAATATGCGTAAGGCATAAGCAATAACATGAGCCTAATCTGGGTGGTGAAGAATACTCATGGCGTAATACTTTAGTAATTCAAACCACCTTCTGTGTCTGATATTGAGCTATTTCTGAGTAAACATATATTGGAGGCTCTTGTGTTCAACGAATATGTTGACTTGAACACCATTAAAGTAGTGGTGCCATATATTCAAAGAAAAAACTAATGAAACCAATTCTAAGTCATGAGTTCGATAATTGCTCTCATGAATCATCAATTGTCTAGAGGCATAATCTATAATATTGCCATTTTACATCAACACACATCCAAAACCAACCCTAGACGCGTCACCATACACCACAAAGCCTTGCGTACCTTCAGATAAAATTAAAACTGGAATGGTAGTTAATCTCTTTTTCAATTCCTGGAAGCTTTTCTCACAAGTATGAGACCATTGAAACTTGACTGTCGTCTAAGTTAACTTGGTCAACACAAAAACAAGATAGATGAAAACTATTCAACAAAAATCCTATAAAAACCAGCAATACCCAAGAAACTCCTTATATCTCTTAATTGTCGGTCTATGACAACTATGAACTGCTTCTATCTTCTAAATCTGAACTCTAATCCCATTACCAAAAATAATGTAGCCCGAGATTTTCACAGACTTAAGCCAAAACTCACACTTGGAGAGCTTGGTATGTCATTGATGAATATGATAACAAACTAATATGGAGACAATCCTGAGGGGAGTAGTATGATCGTCTTCATTCCATGAATAAACTAGTATGTCATTGATGAATATGATAACAAATAGATCTAAATAATGTTTAAATACTCTATTCATAAGATC